AAAAATACGTAAAATAATAAAAATATAAAATATAATAAAAATAACAATAAAATTTAGAATATTAAAAATAAGTATAACAGTAAATATTCTTAGACTTCATTTAATTTGAATTATCATCAGTATTTGAAAGATTTTCAAAATTATGTAGATCCTTCATATTTTCAAAATTTGCAGAATTCTCAGTATTTTCAGAATTCTGAATTAAGAGATTGTTATATTGTGTCATTCACGTGACTTTATTATAATTGATCAATTGTTTCATTGACAACATATTCTTATTATTATTATATTTATTATTAATTAATTTATAAAGCAAATATATAATAATATAGAATTTTATTAAAAATAAAAATAATATACATAAAAGTAAAAGAAAATAAAAAAAAGAAAAAAAACTTTAATTCAGTTAATCTTTGAAAATAAGACGTACTAAAAATTAATAATAATTATTATTTTTTATAAGTTGGTCTTAATTAAATTCTTAAAACTATTTCTTAATATATCTAAACAAAATAAGTTTTCTTGAATTATTTTATTGCACTTTATATTCTTATAAAAAAGTTAGGAAATAAATGACAGTTTACAAAAATTAAGTTTTAATACTCAATATAAATTTTAATTTTATAAATATGTCTTCATTTATTAATATAGATAAGAAAAATGAGAAGAACAAAAAAAGCTCAAAAATAAAGTATTAATTTGAAAAGTAAATAATTTAGTATAAGCTAAATCAAATTAGATTGAGAATTCTAAGAAAATCAGAAATAATTTACATATGTAACTTATATATGATATAGTAGATTAAAATCAAAAATCATTTTGTTTTACTTGTTTACAACTTAATAAGAGAAGAAAAATAAAAAAAAATGATTAAAGGTTAAAAAGAATATTTGATAGATTTTAAAATATTACTTGAAATTATTATATTATTAATATAAATACTTATCTAAAACATTTTCTTTTTTTACACTTTAAATAGACTGATAACTTCTTCTTATATAAAAATAGTAACTAAATAATAGTTTAATAATTAAAATAAAAACATTTTACTATTTTTTATAATATAAGAAGTTAAGTCTTCAATACTTACAGTCTGCGACATAAATATCCAGAATTTTATCAGTAGCACAAAAAGGTCACTATATCATCAATTTATGTCCAACCAAAACAAAAATCAAAATAACAATTTTTTAGCTATTTATAGATATAAAAATAATATCACAAAAATTTCATGTAATTATTTATCAAAAAAAACTTATTCTATAGCGCCTATTTCAGTTTTTGAAATAAGACATTTGATTATAAAGGAATTATAGGTTAAAAACATATGAAAACCCTTTGAAATTATTAAAATAACTGGTTATCCAAGCTCTACTGTATATGATATTATCAACTAATTAAAAAAACTGAAGATGTTGAGCACTTATCTTGTTCTGATCATCTTCTTGTTCTTACTTCTAACAAATGTCAATATCTTGGTTATCTCGTTCAAGTTAATAATACAATATCTTCATATTTAATAATAACAAAACTGAATAATATTTATTCAGACTTTAATATATCAACCCAAACTGTCCAACACATCCTTAAAAATAAACTTAATTATATAATTTGTAAGTCATAAGCTATTCTTCTTTTTAAACAAAATCATATCGAAACACGTCTCCAGTAGGCTTTAAAACATAACCAAGATGATTGGTCTCATACAATTTTTTCAGATAAAAGCACTTTTCAAACATTTAGTAATACTTTATTAGTATGTTATAAAGCTGGTAGTATACATCTATTATATCTTATAGTAAAATATCTATACAAAATACATGTTTAAAATGCATTTTCTCGTTAAGGACTGATTGGGATTAAATTATTTATAGGAAAATGAATTCTGAAAAATATTGTAAAATTCTTCAATTCTAACTTGTTTCTAATACTCACAGTACTGGCTACAGGTGACGCTTCTAATAATATAATGCACCAACCCATATAGTAGGACATACTCAACAATTTTTTGTGACGAATAATGCTTCAGTGATTGATTGATCTGCAAACTCCTCTGATTTAAATCTAATTGAGAATTTATGATCCATTCTTAAACGAAAAGTAGAAGAAAGGGTTAATAATTAGATTAAAAAAAAAAAGTGCTTAGTGCAATTGCTTTTCAGGGCATAATTCGGTAGAAATAGAACAGTATTGATCAAAATATTTTCTTTAATTTGGCAGATAATATGTTAAGTCAGATTAATGAAATTATAGAAAAAAAAGGCTTACAATTAACATAAATTTTTTTTATTTTGTTAATCTGTATATTATACTCTACGAATAGTATAAATATAAAACTAATAAAATAAAATTTACAATATTTTTATTTGTCATGATAAATTCCAGATATTTATGTCATGAACTGTAATATGTATATTAATTTTGCAGATATATTTTTAATTATCATAATAAAAAATAATATATATGAAAGTAAAGAAAAATAAATTAGTTAATTTTTATAGAAGATAAAGCATACTGAAAACTGATAATTATTATTATTTTTTTTTTTTGATCAAATTCTTAAAATCATTTTTTAACTTAACATATCTAAACAAAATAAATTGTCTTGAATTATTTTATCATATTTTGTATACTTATAAAAAGATCAAGTAAGAAAAGTAATAAATGGCAGTTTATAAAAAATTGAGTCTTTAATATTCTATAAAAATTTTAATTTTGTAGATACACCTTTATCTGTTAATACATATAAGTAAATAAGAAAAACAAAAAAAAGCTTAAGAATAAGAAACTAATTTGAAAACTAAATAATTTAGAGCAAATTAAACTAAATCAGACTGAGAGTTTCAAGAAATAAGAAGTAATTTACATATTAATATAGTAGACTATAATTAAAAATTATTTTATTTTACTCATTAATAACTTAATAAGAGAAGAAAAATAGAAAAAATAACTGAAAATTATAATATTTGATGAGTTTAAAATATTGCTTAAAATTATTATATTATTATTATTATAGAGTTAAAAAATCTTAAAATAATATATTATATAACCTTTTACAACAAAATAGATAAATTAAAGGAATTATAATAATAAGAAATTAAAAAATAACTAATTAAATAAAAGGTTATAAAGGAAAAACAATTGGTCAGAAATTATATAATATTAGAGAAATAAAAGCAACTAAAATAATGAAACAAAACACAAATCACCTGATACAGTCACCGGTGAAAGTAATAGCATTACAAGTGCTGCTTGTTTTTTGAGTCATAGCATGTTCATTTTTTACTCTAGAATTTTCCAATATTTCTAGAGTGTTCTTTATAAATAATATTTAATAAACAAACAAAAAAAAGTTGTAGAAAAAAATGAATTTCTTTC